ATTGTTACACCTGGTAAAGCATAAACGCTGATCATTTTATTAAAGATGAAAGAATTTAGAAAGTTTTTAACTCTCAGTGATGCCGCAGTGTTCGTTTGACTTTCGGACCTGAAGGAGATGGAGTTTTGGACCCAGATTACACTGCGGGGCTCCTGACTACGGTAGCCGTAATGCTCCGAAAATCCATCAAGCTCACTGAAGTCGTTTTGATTTTTGAGCGCTGTGTACCACAAAGTCAGTTTGAGGTCAGTAAGCACAAGCAGAATTCATACATAAGGCACACTGTTGATTTTTGAGAAGTTAAAAGATTTTAAGTGCGCCTTACAGTCCAAAAAATACAATAATGGAAAATAAAATGGTAAACTTTTAGAAAGTTGCACACTGTAACATAAGAAGGTGAAACTTAGAGGACGAAAACAAGTGAAGCCACAATATCACAAGATACCAATGATTCTGTAGTCTGTATGTATGTATCTATTTTATATTATATTTTGCACTTTTAAGGGTTATGTATGTAACATTTTATACAGAGTAAGATTATTCTGACACTGCTCAACAATTTATACATCGGTTTATTGCAGATTGGTGAACCTCTGCCTCTTAAGATGTTCTTCTAACCAACCCTCACTTTTCCAACCTTTTGTTGTGCCAACTTTTTTGAAACTTGTTGCTGGCATCAAATCCAAAACGAGCTAATACTTTTCCTAAAATGTCACACTTTCTCAGTTTAACATTTGATTTCTGTGGGGTTTTTTGTTCCATTGTGAATAAAGTGTGAGTTAATCAGATATTCAACCAATTGCATTTGTTTATTCATTTATTGCATCATATTTAATTTTTTTTCCACACAGTGTCCCAGTTTTCTCAAAACTGGGTTTGTTTGTATATCAAATGAGGCAGCATAGATACTACCACAACAAATACCATGTAGAAAGTGTGCATAGTTGTATCTGTTCACAGGATTTTTAAACTGTATTTAAAGATGTAGAAATAGCTAATACAACATTTCCCATACCCAACAGATCAGTTTAAGCTTGCAAGTTTGTGATCAAATCCTTCATGGATCGCAGCCCTCTGCTATTTAATTCTCCCTTACAACTCACTATTTGATCACTTATCTTCTTGTAAAGGTCTGCAAGACATCTGGACCAAAATCCATTTATAAGCTGCTTATTAGCATTTACAACTGCAGACTTGATGAATTATGAAATCCATGATTTATTAACACTGATAAGTGCAGGTGACTATTTCACAGTGGCTGAGTAAAAATCAAGCGTCTAAGATCCGTTATTAATATCAAATGTACATCAGCCATTATTTAATAACGTTTATGTATATGTTTAATGTAATAAATGCTCACACCAAAGCTGTAAATGCTATAAGCAAGTTTGCATACAGAATGGCACCAAAGCAGCCATAAATGGCATTTCCAAATTGCATGTTGTCAAAGTAGACTACAGAGCGATGGATCTAAATGCTGTGCTTTTCAACTGCATTTTTTTGCATTAATTTTTCCAGCATTGTGTCCTCATTATCTTGTAAGTACTGGAAATGCTTACATTGCATTTCACGATCTAAATGTCACGATCTAAAGCAAGAATCTAGTTTTTGTTTAGCACATTTTTTTTAAAATTTTGTCTGCTATACCAAACTACTGTTTGCTACAGAAAATGTATAATCCCTGCTGAATGGCATTAGTAGCTACAGGTTACTAGAGGTGGGTGAAATTGGTTGCAAAGAAGGTGCTGCATCAAAAATCTTTTGTTGCTAGTTGAAAGTCTGTGCCTCAAGGTGCAGCCAACATGTCTCAAAAGGTGCAACTTCCCTAGCAACGAGTGGTTGCCTGACAATTGCAGACAGGTATCTAGGCCTGTCTGATTGGGGCCTAATTCACTTGTTCTTACACTGACAGGCATCCTATGACATGGTTAACAGTAATTCCAATTCAGTTAAATTTTATTTATATAGTGCCAAATCACAACAATAGTCACCTCAAGGTGCTTAATATTATACAGTGGAGACC